CTTTCTCTGTGCAAACCCACGGATTTCTTTTTCCTTTTTTTTTATGTCTCATGGGAACATAAAGTATGTATATAGGACTAGAATGCTTCTCAGAACACTTTCTTGAGTATTTTTATTGCCTACATAATTTTCTTGCTTTGTGACTTAATTACTCTGAATCATAAAAATATGAACTTCTGTGCCATTTCTATTGGCAGACCCCAGCAGTTCAGTACCTAGTATTTAGTGGCTGGAAAATAGGTTTTGCCATCATTGTGGCTATCCAAAATGGGAAAATGTGAGCAAACATTAAAAAATTAGATGCCTTGTCTGATTTCAGCTGTTGATGTGGGATTGGCCCTTACACTGTATGTAAAATTCAAAGAAATCTTTAATGATTTTAATCCCTGTATCTCCTGCATCCCCTGCGGCTGTAATTGCAATTGTAGCTATGGCTGTACTTGAACGTGCCTTAGCACATGCGAGAGTGGGATAGTGAAACCATCAGCAATAGTTTAAAAAGCAATTCTTTCTTGTCTGTGTCTTTTTTTTAAAGATTTATTTATTTGTTTGTTTATTTATTCAAGCACGGGGAGAGAATTCACCAGAGCCAGAGCGGGGAGCAGAGCAGGCAGACTGACGAGGTACACTGCTGAGAGGAGCAGCGGGCGGCAGGAGAGGTCTGCGCGCCATGTGGGACCCTCCTCCGGTGGCCTGGGGAGCAGCCGGGGATCGAACCGGTGCTGCAGAGGCTGCGGGCAGCTTCGCAACCCAGCGCTCAACCGCTGCGCCACTGGGGAGGCCCACTTGTCTGTGTCTTAATGGTGGTAAATGGAGGGAGCAAATCCTGCTGTTTACTTGACCTTCACAGATCCTACAAGAACTAACCAGCTAATTTCTGGACCAAGATAGATACAAAGTTGAACTAATCTGGGACTCACTTTCCTACCCTACTAATAGAGTCTAGTGAGACACAGAGGTCTAGAAGTTCATGGCTTTGTATTGGAAAACCAGACAGTATAAATGTGCAAAATTGCATTACCTTCTAACAAAGTAAACCCAGTGCTTTGCAGGCAGAACAGGACAATGGGTTCTCCACTTTGTAGGTGTAAGTGATTGGGATGAGTCCTAGGCAGATGTCCTGTAGTGTAATCTACTTTTCTTTGTTCCCCTGACAACTTGGCCCTGTTGGGGGATTCTCCTTTGCTTTTTCCCAGGTAGGTGGCAGAGCCCTTAGTTTTTGCCCCAGTCATCATCTCTAAACTCACACCTCTCCTTTGCACTAAGGTGTAAAGGACTTATAATAGCTGAAAGTGTTGTGCTCCCTCCCAGTAAGATTTCCATTTTATATCGGATGGTTTCACTTACAGAAGGAACATAGGTAAAGGGACCAGGAGAAAAAAAAGAGACAGAACTACCTGGCAAACTATAAATCAGAGACATTCTACAGGGGAGGAGTCGGGGAGAGGCAGGAGCACAAGAGACTATGGTAACGGCATGTCTTGGTGGTGGGGATTTTATGGGGACTACACCTGAGAGGAGAATGAACAACATTGTAAAAAATATATATATCAGTTTTTTTAAAAAAAGATTTCCATTTAAATAGAGGACCAATCTCACCTGCAGGGAAGAATGGTCTTGGGTGGAATTTTCAATATCATTCAAGTGGGGCCTTGGGAGGGTGTGGCGTGGTGGCGGGTGTTTGTGGTCACATCTGTTCTTTCAACTGCTCTGAAATCATAACTCTTAGGCATTGTCTTCTCCATGGGTCCCTAGAGGCCCCTTCCAACCCCTTCCTGTGTAGCAACTCAGGCTACAGAACAGGCTTGCAGTGAAGACAATGCCTCTGGGTACAATGTGTGTAGGACAATGTGTGTGGGGTTTTCTAAAAAGGGAACTGTGTAAAGTACAGGCAACTTCCCTCAAGCGGATGCAATGATTCTTGCTGCTGCACATTTTCATTTTTTCTGATCAGTTAATTTTATTGGGGGCTGGGTCTGCTCCCTTTTTCCTTCTTGGTTTTTCTCGGCTGGCAAATAATCAAATTAATGTCAGACAGATTGACAAGAGAAAAAGATCAATCTAATTATGTACATCCTCATAGCTACATAGACATGAGGATTCCGAAGATGGTTAGACAAAATGGAGGTACATATGTCATTTTGGACTAAAGAGAAGGAGGTAGGGATTTTGGATTTCAAAGAGAAAGAAGACAATTTACAAAAAGATGAAAAAGATCATATGTCTGGGAAACATAGGTTTGCTGGGTCATGTAAAAAAGGAAAAAAAGAATAGCACAGAGAGCAGTCTTCATGCACAAATTCAACTAGGTTGCTCCTTGTCTACCACACCTGCCTCCTATTGTGTTGTATTTATTTTTTTTAAGATTTATTTATTTATGCATACAAGAGCTGGGGTATAGGCCAGAGGTGTGTGTGGGGTGTGAGAGGATGCACCAGAGACTGAGTGGGGAACAGAACAGGCAGATTGACTGAAATACACTGCTGAGGGGAGCAGCAGGCGAGTCAGGAGAGGTCTGCTGTGCTGTGTGGGTAGCTCCCTGGCCGGGGATTGAACTCATGCTCTCTTGCGCCACCAGGGAGGCCCTACTGTGTTGTAGTTATCCCTGGTGATAACTTCTTTTCTGGAACAGGTCTATCTAAATTCTTTGGGTAGTAGAGGGGCAGGTCATGAACCCTTCCTGGGTCTTTCTAACCTCGATTGATTTCAGAAATGAATCACTATTATTCAAAGCCAGGCACCTTGGGGTGGTCTGCTTTATACCCCACCAATTTGTTTTCAAATTAAAATACTAGTGTAAGTGAATAATGCCTGTATGCCACATGTAGGCAGTCAATTAACCTTGATGAAGAGCAACATAAAGAAAGGGAGAGATTTTTATCACTGCTTTGTACTTATACTTTAATGTGCTAATATTTATTTCTTCTTATTATTTTAGACTCTACTCATCTCCACCACACCTACGCAACACACACACCCACTGGCACACACATTCACACTCTCATTAGCAGTCACACACTAAAATCAAGTGCATTTTTTGCTTTGCTACCATTTTGGCATCCATGTCATTTACACTTTCCCATTAATGAGTTCTAAGGGGGAGTCAGTGAGTCTGGAACCCCTAAGATACTGGATTTTCTCCCCATGGTCTATTACATCTGCTTCACTCAGACCTTGGCAAAGTAGAACAGAATACTTATCAATTTATTCCTGGAAAACTTTGAATTTAATATTGTAGCATTCAGAAATATATTTGGGTCACAGTGTCATTGAACTCTAGTAGCACTGGCATAACCCTTTACCAAAAGTATAAGTGTCTCTGGTGTAGGTGTGGTTGGGCTTTTCAGTCATTTTTAGTTTGGATACAGAAGATTCCTCTGTTAAATGAGTAGTAGAATGGTGGATTCCAGAACCGGCAGGCTGTGGAGGGTCACATTTGCATGTGTTATTTGTATTACCCCCGCCCAATTTGAAAAAAAAAAAGACATTTATATGTTCATTCTGGAGGCAGATTTTAGTTCTCCAAGAACATGTACACAAAGACGATAAAAATGTGTCTTGATGTGGTCCCAGAAAACTTGCTGATTAGAAATAAAACAAATGACTGCCTAATGGGAAGGCCCTTCAAAATCTTAGTTTGGCCCATTACTAGTTCCACATGGAAAAGTACATTTTATTGCCATCATCCCATTTGGGGAAAAAAGATGTAAACTTCTAGACATCTTGGAACGAGATTTTTATTATTATTATTATTTTTTAAAGACTTATTTATTTATAAAGAACTGGGGTACAGATCAGAGGCACTGGAGGGTGAGAGAATTCACCAGAGAGAGCAGGGAGCAGAACAGGCAGACTTACCGAAGACACTGCTGAGGGGAGCTGCGGGCGAGGCAGGAGAGGTCTGCCAGGCCATGTGAATCGAACCCATGCTGCAGAGGCTGCAGACAGCTTCATAGTGCAGCACTCAACCCGCTGCGCCACCAGGAAGGCCCCAGGGAATGAGATGTTTTTAGAAGGGGCATTTCCGCCCAGAAGGTGGGTGTCTGCTTAGATATGTATATCCACATCGCTGGCCTTCAAATTAAGAGAATGGTGCTTGTGTTTCAGAATCCTTCTGTAATTTCAAATGTACACGTAGGAAACTAGAAGTCTCTATACATTTGAATACGTTGAATACATTTTAAAACTAGCAATTCAATTGTATTTAAAACAATAGCTGGCTTCCTCAGTAGGGACCAGCAGCATAAAAGAATGATGGTTGCAACTGGCAAAGTGAATAATTGTACTTATTTCATGCTTTGTGGCTGAGAATTGAGTAGTAGCTTGAAAGCCAGAAGGTATATATGGAAGAGTCACTTCAGGCTAGGAAGAACCACAGGCTCAGGCAGGCAAAGCTTCAAGTCCATGAAGATGAGATGAGAGGCGCCAGGTCAAGGCGCAGAAACCAGGAACAAGGCTGGGAGCAAAAGGCAGGCCTGCATGGAGAGTTTGGGTGACATGGAGTTGGGACCTCGTGGGTGGCAGGAGTAGTCGGAGTCACTGCGGCTATTGGGCCTACTGAGTGCAGTAAATAAATTGTATAGATGAAGATGTGTGAAAGGCTCCACCTCCTGTGTGGACAGTTCGTGGCATTCTGCAGGTGTCAGGCATTGACTGCAGCCACACGTACGAGTTTCCTGTGGGTGGGCTGAGAGCGCTGTTATGTGCAGCTCTGGAGAATGGGCCTGAGCGTGCTCGGGGCGTTTCCTGGCGGGCCCTGCCCTCTCAGCGAGCCTCTCATTTCCCATTACCACTGTGCTCTGACTCACCGGTGGCCTGCCACATGTCACTGGGTGCCTCAGCTGCTGCTTTCATTTCTCCCAAAGGTATACAGAGGTTTGGGGCTTGGCTCTTGCACTTTTTTCCCTCCTGAGAGCTGGAGGAAGTGGCCTTATGATAGTTTGGCTTGTTGAGTTGAATACTTGACAGTGCCTCACACCTTCAATTTTCCTTTCTCATAGGTATTTGATCCCGATGACCTTTACTCAGGCATCAATTTCTCCAAGGTTCTGAGCACTCTTTTAGCTGTCAACAAAGCGACAGAAGGTAAGCAGGGCATGTGATTTATGACTTGGGGGCCGCAGGTTTGCATCTACGTGTTTCTGATTACCCTAGGAACCCACCACGGCCAGGACTGTCCCATTGGTGCACATTTCTCCCCTCCCCAACAGTAGCCCCCAAGGGGTTTACTTTTTACATGTTTTAATTTTTCATGATTTAAGATTTAAACATACTTACCACGGATATTATTCTAACGTCCTTAATATGGCGATAAGAACCAAGGGACTATTTCATTCAAAGCTGTTGCATAAGTAACTCAGTATAACAAGACAGAAAATAAAAAGGAAAAGATCAAGTTCCCTTTTTTCATAGTTTACAAAATATAGCCACTACTTCCCCTTCCCCCGTAGACATATTTTTCTCATATTTTGTGTTTGTCTTTGTCTACGTAAGGGAACCCCTCGGTAACCCTGCCCTGGAAATGATACTTAAGATTCATAGTGATTGAAAATAATACCTTTTCTTTAAATGTTCAATACCCACCACATTGGAGGTACGAAGTCCAAATCCTAGTATAGGCAAGAAAATGATAATAAGCTTAGAGTATGATTTCCCTGCCTTGTGAGATGTATGTCAGATAGAGCTGCATGGTGATAATCAGAGGTAAGATGCTTTCTGCCTTTCTCATGGATCTCGCCTGTCCTAAAAGACATTGGTGATGATCTCACCCAATCTTTGAAACCACCCCAGGGTAGGTACTCTTCTTGGATCCATATGACAGGTGAGGATGTCAGGCCTACAGATGCCCAACCGGAAGCTAAGTGGCAGAGCTGGGATTCGAACCCACATCTGATTGACTCCAGAGCCCGGTGGCCAAACACTGGACTGGCTGCTCAGCCGTTTGGAGAGTCACCAGGCTGTGTGCCTAGCACTGCTGGGTGCTCCAAAGGCAGCGTACGAAATGGTCCCTGGCCTTGAGAAAATGATCATCTATTTAGAGAGACTCAACTTACCCCATGAAACAATTCAAGAACAAGAGCAGACAATGTGTGGCATATCTAGGAAGCGATCAAGTAATTATAGTTTTAGTCAAAAGAGCTGTATATAATAGCAACAAATGTAAAAATACTTCTCCATAGTTGTTCTTTTGCTATTTGGAAAAAATGCTTTTGAGCTATTGCAAGGCGTATAGCAGAAAGCACAGCTAATTCAAGGGACTATATTTAACACACATGACAACTATCCAGTCCTGGGCAGGGAGGATCGTATAATTCTAACATTATGCCATACAAATTATACGTTCTTTTGCCAAGCTCTCCTAGCAAGTTTTACAGTCTCTTCCCTTGCCACAGATATTTATAAAATACATGGAGGTGAAAGTTAAAACCCACAGCATCAAGGAAATTACTTGGATGCTGAGCTCGTCGCCTAGGGAATGTTTGGACTTTAGACTTTTGCAGTTTATATCTTTTAAAAATAAATGGAGAGGAAAGGAAACCTCATTTGAATTTGTCAAAAAGCCAGCTCCTCTCTTTCCGATACTCTCGGCACACTGAAAACTTCCAGCTCAGTGCGGGTCCGATCGAATTTCACAAGGTTTCAAAGGAAGATTCTGGAATTTGAGTTTTTAAAAAAGTCTTCTAGTCTTGAGACTGCAGACACACTGACTCACTCTCGCATTCTCATCGCTCTGCCCTCCCACCCTGGGGTCCAGGGACATTTTACATTCTGTATGTCATACGTATTGTTACGTGTGAGTAAGAAAAGAACCACTCAGTTATGTCCTAAAAAACAAACAGAGAAATTTGAAATATTTCAAAGTAATAAGAGCCACAAACAGCTGTTTGGTACCCAATATAGTTCTGCCTTGGATAACAGGGCGTACTGTTGCAACTGGTTCAGGAGGCAAGAGTTGTAGGGACATGGGTTGAGAGAAAATGTGGTTCTGTCGCTGTTTTTCATTCTATTGGACAGCAATGGCCAGTAAGTTGGCCACCGGCAAGGGGGGCGGGGGGCGGTGAGCTCTCCGTGACAGGTCCGTGATAGTAACAGGTGGAATCGAGGCCACCCTGCCGTAGATAATGCCCTGTGAAAGATCATGTTCTCTGGTAGATGTTTTTCTGACATGAATGGTTGGTTCCCTTTGACGTGCCTTTTCCTCTTTTCACAGATCAGCTCTCGGAGAGACCATGCGGACGTTCCTCTTCTCTTAGTGCTGCTAATAGTTCTCAGACAAACCCACAGGGAGCCGTTTCTAGCTCAGTTCCCAGGCTGCAGAGGCAGTCAAAGGCAGTGGTAAGTATAATCCCCAATTCCCTCTGCCTGTTTTAAATCCGTGAAGTTGGATTGATATCTGGGTTGCATCTCCATATGTGGTGAGGTAGTCATTCTGTTTGTTTGCGGGCATCCTGGCATAACTAATTTTAAACCTACCAACGATCGTGGTGGGCCACTGGAACAAATCCCAGGCAAGTAGCATGGAGTCAGACGCCTGGGTGGAAGCCCCGAAGTTCTGCCCTCCTTGGCTGTCAGTGTGATGCAATGGGAGCCACCACGACTACTTCCTGCTGGCCGTTGGCTGTCGTCTTCTCTGCCTCTGGTTTATCAGAGGATGAGAATATTGCCTGGCACACAGTAGGCAACCAAGATAACTCAGTTGCTATCATCGACATTGCCACCTTTAGTTTTTCCTTTCTCTTCCCCTGGAGCCTGCGATGAGCTCCAATATTGGGAGCGCCCACTTACCTTTGCATTTGGTCCTAATGGGAGCTTTTATTTGGGAGGAAATGCTGCATCTTCTGCCCTTTGGAGACCCCTATTTCTTGAACTATATTACTTCCAAAGCACTTAAATTACTTCCAAAGCACTTAACCTTTTGAGATCCCAGGTACCTTTGAGAAGCTGATGAACACGATAGTTCTGCAACCCTTGAGCCCTTGCCATATAAATTTCCCTGCGTATGAACCTATGGGGTCTGCGTTTTGGGGAAAGATCCTTGTGCTCATCACCTTCTCAAAGGGGCCTGTGATGGCTTCGGAAGTCCGGACTTAGGGAACTGGGGATATTCCATCTTTGCCTGTGACTAAGTCTTGGCCAAATTAAAATATTTTTCAGTAATTGGGAGGTGGGGGTCAGTTTTTATGAGAGCAGGTTAGTACTTAATATTGGTTGTACAATTATGTAAGATTATGTTGTGTGTTGGGTAGAGGCTGGGTGGAATAGTTTTGTTTGCTTGTATCTTTAGATAATTGGTGAGGTGAGAGGGGGAAACAAAAGCTATGACCCCCTCCCAAACAGATACTCTCACAAATTCAAAAAGTTGCTTATAAATTTGAGGGGTATATTAACCACCACCACCCCCGCCCCGCCCAGGCCCATTCATGCCAGGCCCACTCTTAACTTAGAAAGTTACGACTGAGATGAAACTAGGTTTTTATTTATTTATTTATTTATTTATTTATTTATTTATTTATTTATTTATTTATTGAATGCATAAAACAACTGGGGTACAGGCCAGACCTGGGGGGGGTGTGAGAGGATTCAGCAGAGAGAGTGGGGAGCAGAACAGGCAGACTGACTGAAATACACTGCTGAGGGGAGCAGCGGGCGAGACAGGAGAGGTCTGCCTCGCCATATGGGTTTCTCCCTGACCGGGGATGGAACTCGTGCTGCAGGGGCTGCGCATAGCTTCATAGGTTGCATCTTAACCCCTTGCCCCACCAGGGTAGGCCCTGAAACTAGGGTTTTATCCTTAGTCACCCCACTTTAGTGGGGTAAATTCATTTAATGTCTGCCCCTGCCTCATTTATTTATTTATTTATTTATTTGTTAGTTAGTTAGTTTGTTTGCTTGTTTGCTTGTTTATTTATGCGCGCACTTCATCTGGTGTGGCTTTTGTTTCTCTAGGAGATGACGGAAAATGGAAGTCACCAGTTGGTAGTAAAGGCAAGATTCAACTTTAAGCAGACTAATGAAGATGAACTGTCAGTCTGTAAAGGGGACATCATTTATGTCACTAGAGTGGAAGAAGGAGGCTGGTGGGAAGGAACATTACATGGGCGAACAGGCTGGTTCCCTAGTAATTATGTCCGAGAAATTAAATCCAGTGGTAAGTGAATCTTTTCAGTCTTTTTGAATAAGACGCTTGTATTTTCTTGGTATTCTTACTGAAAATTTTGTCATTTTAACTGGTTAACAGAAACTGTTTATACTCGTATGTGTATGTCAAAAATAAGACTAGAACAGAACTGGGAAAAATCTGTGATTAGATATTTTGAAACGAAGTTGTATTTAGATTGCATCAAGACAGCCAAAAACTAAAAAAGCAAAGGAATTCAGAGCTCAGACAACTGTTCCACCTTAACTATCCCCCCCTTCTGTCTGCTAAATCTAGCCCATGTGATAGAGTACATACTCCTTCCTGCTACTCTAAGAATTACTGTGCAGAATACAATAATAAGAGAGGCTATGTGCTAACTTCCTTTTTTTAGCCTTAAGCTCTTTAAGCAGGCTAAGACTAAATGTTTCAGAAATGTGTACATGAAATAACAATCATAGGACTGCAGGAAGCTCTCTGGCCGCTCTGATTCTAAATAAGATTGTCCTGAGCTCATTGTATACTTCTAATTGCTTATCCTTTTTCCTAGTAATACCCAGAGAATGAAATCTAATCATGTTTCAGTAGACTTTCTAGAGCTTTCTTAGGTAACTTGTCTTTTATTATTAAAATAAGTAGGCCCTGCTTATATTACCAGAAAAAAAAGAAACCTTTTCAAAAATCAGATTTTATTGATTTACCATTCATTTACAAAACTATATCACTTCACACCTTGACAAGCCCACATACTTCCCTTGCCCTCCACCATATTTACCCCTTTACACTCCCTCCCCGCCCCACCACCCCGCCCCGTCTTCTACCGGCTGCTAACCATCATATTTTTCATGTCGTCTAAGAGTTATTTTTGTTGTGTTTTACAGTTTGTTTCCTTTGGTTATTTATATTCCACAAATGAGAGAAACCACCCTGTGTCTTTCACTTTCTGACTTATTCACTTAGCATCATCTCCCTGAGCTCCATCTATATTGTTGCAAAAGGCATGATTTCATCTTTTTGCACAGCTGAGTAGTATCCATGGAGCATATAGAATATGATTTCCTTATCCAGCCATCTGTATGCCTTTAGGTTGGTCCCATGTCTTAGCTATTGTGAATCATGGTGCCAGGAACATAGGAATATATAAATCTTATCATAGTAGTGTTCTTATATCCTTTAGATAAATGCCCAGAGAGAAATGCTGGCTCATATGGTCTTTTCATATTCAGTTTCAGAAAAACTGTCGATATATAAAAAAGTCACATTACTGATAAAAACAGTGTCCATTTATTTACATTGTAATCAAAAAATTCTTTTAAAAAATATCTGCCCAAGAGCTGTTTTGAGTGGTTCATTCCTCAGTGCATTTTTTCTTTTGTACATGTCTTAATTGCTTTTTAATGCCTTTGATTTAATGTTATTAATAAAATTATAGGCCTCTGTAAATAAATTAAAACATGACAGAAATAGATAGTGACGATAATAAAGATTCCTCTCTCCTTTGCCTCCTCCACCAAATAACCACTGTTAGTTCTTTTTTTCTTTTTGGTTTCCATATTTTTATTTTTATTCTGTTTTACTTTTATTTATTTTTTTGGTTTCCATATTTTTATTTTTATTCTGTTTTATATATTTTTTACATCATTTTTCATTTTTGCACAATGTATGTATTTTCATCTTGGTTATAGTCCCCATACAATTCCCACCCCCCTTGTTTTGATCCTACTACCTCCTCTCCCCAGCCCGTAGTGTGTCTCTGGTTTATAGTTGCTTACACTAAAGATACAATTTAGTTTGCACACTTTTCTGGGTTGTATATTGGTTGGAGGACATCTCTAATAGAATAAGTCTTTGCTAGTAGATTTAGAATGATGTAGGTATGCATTTTCATTCTGGAAGTCTAGAAGTTTCTGTTGAGCCGTGAAACATTTTTACAACCCTCGCCTAGAATTTCCTTGGCTGTAATGATTTTCACAGCTGATTTTTACCCCTTCCTACTTCTTTCAGTTGGTATAATCTGATTGTCAAACTCTCCAAACAGATCCACTCCAACATTGTTCCTTAAGTAAATGTCTTCAGCTGCAAAACTAAAGGATCAGGACCCACTGGCTTGCCCAGGAATCACAAGCAATTTTGAAGGGACAGGGAAGAGACAGACAACAAGGTCTTACGATTGTGTCCTTCACGATAGTCTCCACTCCCTAGCCAGTTTGTTCCAGCTGTTTGTCCTGGTCTTCTGGCCCCTCCTTTCCAGCTTCTCCTATCCAGTCATGCTTTGCTCCGCGAGGTTTCCATCAGCGAGGGGGCTGCACATGGGATGGTAGCCCCAGTAGGCTCTGCCACAGAACCGAGGCGTGTAGTAGGCCGGGCCATCTAGGTTTGTGTCATCACACTCTATGACACTCTAACAGTGACAAAATTCCCCAAAGATGCATTTCTCAGAAAGAGTCCTCATTGTTCAGTGATGCGTGGCTGTACTCTCTTTGGTTTAGAACTCAGTTAAGACTCACATGGCAAACTCTAGCTCTGATCTGAGCACAGAGGTAACCCCTCACGTCAAGGATAGGTCAGGATAGCTGGGGCTAGGAAGCCCGATGGTCAGGAAACGCCTGGGGCTAGAGAGGCGGGAAGGGCATCTTCGCCAGCTCACTGCAATAGCCCACTCAGCGCTGTACCTGCTCCTGTCCTTGTCATTCCTATAATTGACTTTGAACTCAGTAGCCAGAGTGATTTTTCAAAGTGTAATTTTGAGTAACAACTCCTGATCTAAAAAAAAAAAAAAAAAAAGTAAAAGCCAAGATTGACCCAGTAGCCTGCAAGCCTCCCCAGGACTTAGCCTCCCACTGTTGCCTGTACTTACACCCCTTTTTATTTTTATTTATTTATTTATTTATTAGTTAGTTAGTTAGTTTTAAAAGATTTATTTACTTTTATACCAGAGCTGGGGTATAGGCCAGAGGCACGGAGGGGGGAGAGGATTCACCAGAGGCAGAGCAGGGAGCAGAGTAGGCAGATGACAGAAATACACCGCTGAGGGGAGCAGCAGGCACGACAGGAGAGATCTGCCGCGCCATGTGGGATTCTCACCAACCGGGATCGAACCCGCACTGCAGAGGCTGCAGACAGCTTCACAGCGCGGCGCTTAACTCGCTGCGCCACCAGAGAGGCCCTACACTCCTTTTTAGAGGCACAGTATAGGACTGCCTGCTTGTTTTAATTTAGGTGGGGTCTCTCACAGCCAGATTTTATCTGTCTTTACTTTTAACTTTCAGTCACTCTATCTCAAATGCCCCCATCTTTGGATCCGTCTGGGTCATTACAATATCAGTAAGGATGATGGTGTGGGGTTATAATAATCTGCCCTTGGACTCTGCCCCTGAGGACCTTGCAGGCCAGTAGTCAGGATAGGGGTGCTCACTGCCAAATGACAGGCTAGGGCAGAGTAAATAACACAGACAAAGCTGTAATCATGATGCTTTGGAGGAGTCAAGAGAAAATTCTATTACAATAGAATTGGACAGGGTCTTAAAGAAAGAAATTCTTCTAACTGGTAGAAGATGGTTATGGGGAGTAAGTGAAAGTATGGAAGGAGGAGAGCGTGGGGTGGATGGTTGGATGATTTGGGTTGAGACTTAGGTGAGTGGAGAGAGAGTGGGGCCTTGAGCTGGAGCTACATTCAGAAGGGTGTCCATGAAAAAGTCTTAAGCAGGAGATAGCATGTGGTTTAGAAAGATCTTTGTAGTGGTTGTGTGGGAGCTGGATTGCAGGGAAGTGGTGGGGATAACCGACGAGGATGTGGGGAAACCGGCAGAGGCTGCGCTAAGGCAGTCGTCCAGATCGAAGAGAATCCACGTGGTGGTGTGGAGTACTTGGTGATCATGTAGGGGAAGAGAAAGTGGACGGAGAAGAACATAATGTTAACATAGAATCAAGAAAATTGGCTGGTGGTTGGTTATGAAGGAAGGGGAAGGGGATAACTCGAAGTCCAGGCATCCGGCTTGATGGCGAGCTCCTCGGGGCAGGCGGTGTCATGGCCGAGCCAACCAGCCAGCAAAGGTTGCTCTGCCGTGAGCAGTATATGAGGCTGTGTCCTGGGCGCTGGCAAGGCCAAGAGACCTCAGGCGTCACTTTTGTCCTCATAGTTTAGTAAGGGGGAGACACCGTTGGAATATAGCATGTAAGTTTAGGGGGGGCAATCTAAGCCATTATGATTGATCAGGAAGAACAAAAGAAGGATCTGTGACAGAAATGAGCAGAGTGAGCTCAGGGGACAGTAGACGAGATGAGTCTGATGTAATCAACATGTCTTGTTGGGAAAGTAGCTGTTGGTCTTTGTTGACTTGAATTCTTGGCCGCCCCAACTCCTGCTGCTTCTGCAGAATAGTGAGTCGGCCAGAACCTATCTAGAATGCTGCCGGGGGACATTATCGATTCCACCAAAACAGCTGCACTCTTTTCTATTTGGTCTAGAAAATATTTGTTGATTTTTTTATTCCTTTCCATGAAGTCTGCATTGATGTGTGAGCCTAGGAAAGAAGATTTGTCTTTAAGTAATTAAAAAAAAAAGATTTACAGATGAAATGGATATGACTTAGAAATGAAACCTTCCATTTAGAGTTTTAAACCCCCACTGTCATAAAACCTGCTGTGACCTCCAGCTACTGACTCGAGTCCACATGTAACACTGAGGTCACACAAACAGTATGAGGTCACACATACAGCTACTGTATGTCCTTTTATAATGTCTTAAAAACCAAACAAAGCAACCCGGCCCCACACCACCTCCCTCCAGCAGGTTTCTGGCCCTGGGATGCTGTGCAGAGTTTTCTTTCTGTGTGGCTGTCATGGACAAGAGCACTTTATGCTCTGCTGCATTTGCCCTTGGGGAGTGGCATTTTAAGTTTTAAATTCCACTGTAGCTTTTGTCTAGAGATAATTATGGATGAAGCCTTGGGGAAGGCTTCTTCCCTTTCATGAGGATGAGACAGATTTCAGAGGACAGGTAGAACCACCAA